ACGTTTTAAAACTGTTTTAATATGCTGAGAATCATCAATTCAAGGGCATTTAATATCTTAAATAAAACTATTCTAATTAAATATATTTTCATCTGATATTGGACGGAAGATGTTGCCCTTTTATGTAATATAAGTAACGATTATTTGAAAACGCTTATTAAACAGCCAAATGGATGCACAAAAGTGAAAATAGGAGTCACAAATCCGATTGAATACAATTCTCTGCCCAATTTTATTGATTCTGTAACGTTTGTTGCAAATAGGACCAACTTTTTACCAAAAATCACCAGCACCGTATCAGGACCCACCAGCACAGTGCCAGGACCCACACGCACAGAATCAAGACATGTCTAAACTGAGAAAATGCACAATTTTAATAAATTGCACAGGTTTTTCACAAAATAATTTTGTCGTGTGGATTTGGGTATAGAAAGCGGACTCCAGGAACATTTTTGTTTTATTTTTTCAGTTCTAGATTTTCTAAAAATGAGTACTTTTGTGTTACGCTTACTGAAACAGTTTAGAGGGTCACATTTTTAATTGTTTGCCTATGAACCCATAAGAAACAAAATTAAAACATCTCGACTGTTTCCTTCCATTTTGTTTTTCGAGAAACGTCAAAAATCATCATTTTCGTCTTTGTTTACATATTTTCAATGACCACCAGCACCAGTCAGGGCCAAATCACCAGCACAGAACGTTCTCTCGCAGGACAACCTTACCCACCGTGTTCATTCTCACTGAGTAATTTCATATTTTGACCTTTTGGTCGGGCTTTGCATTCTTTAAAAAATACAAAAATGCTGTTAACTTTGCTTACGATGACTTTTATATTTCATTAGGTGATAATTTATATGCAGAACGAGTGCATACATTTCTCACTACGTATATACAAAACAAGAAAAAAATCCGCGAGAATATCGCATTAACTCTAAACAAAGCGAGAACGGGTCTGTCAACATGTTAATCGTCTTGCTATACACGCATCCATCACCCACTATAAGAGTTAGCAACCAATAGAAAATTTTGGAGTATATCTTTAGTAGTTTTGAGAATGAACATCTGATTGATGTCTACCTTATCTCAATATTTTTAAGGCCATCGTTTACTGTACGAATTTCAGAAATAAGTTTAGTGCAATATAAAGACAAGGCTGCTATATATAGTTCTTTAAAAAGATTTTTGTGAAATTTTGGTTTTAATCTAAACAAGGAATATTTTCATCGTCCTTTTTTTGATTATTACAAAGGAGAGATGGAGGAATTTGTGGTGTTTTAAAATATCCCCTTTTATAAATGCTGTAGGCTTATGGGTTCCCAGATTTGTTGTGAATGGCAATATAAAAACTAGAGGCTCTCAAGAGCCTGTGTCGCTCACCTGATTCTACTTTGGTTTTGGAAATCATGTAAAAATAGATTAAAATCATAACAGATACCCTAATAATGAGTGAGGCCAAATTTGGTTTAATATTGGTCCTGTAATTTAATAAAAAATCCTGGTGGCCATCTTGAACAGTAAATCGGCAACAAGTCGCAACACTTAATCAGCACCTCATAAGAAACATTTATGCCATGTTTTGGTTTCATTCCATTCAGTGCACCTCTAGAAGAAGCATTTATATGTATTTCCCATAGGGTCTTATGTTAAAGGAAGTCCCCCACTTGGCGGCCATCATGGATGAAGGATCAGCTTCAAAGCAACAAAACTTAGTCAGCACCTCATAAGGAACATTCTTGCCATGTTTGGTTTCATTCCATTCAGTGGTTCTCTAAAAGAAGACGTTTGTATGTATTTCCCGTAGGGTCCCATGTTAAACTAAGTGCCCCGCTGGCGGCCATCTTGGATGAAGGATCAGCTTCAAAGTAACAAAACTTAGTCAGCACCTCATAAGGAACATTCATGCCATGTTTGGTTTCATTCCATACAGTGGTTCTCTAAAAGAAGACATTTGTATGTATTTCCCATAGGGTCCCATGCTAAACTAAGTCCCCTGCAGGCGGCCATCTTGAATTATGGATCAGCTTCATAGTAACAACACTTGGTCAGCACCTCATAAGGAACATTCATGCCATGTTTGGTTTCATTCCATTCAGTGGTTCTCTAAGAGAAGACATTTGTATGTATTTCCCATAGGGTCCCATGTTAAACTAAGTCCCCCGCTGGCGGCCATCTTGGATTATGGATCGGCTACAAAGTAACAACACTCGGTCAGCACCTCATAAGAAACATTCATGCCATGTTTGGTTTCATTCCATTCAGTGGTTCTCTAAAAGAAGACATTTGTATGTATTTCCCATAGGGTCCTATGTTAAACTAAGTCCCCCGCTGGCGGCCATCTTGGATGATGGATCCGCTACAAAGTAACAACACTTGGTCAGCACCTCATAAGGAACATTCATGCCATGTTTGGTTTCATTCCATTCAGTGGTTCTCTAGGAGAAGTTCAAAATTTAAAAAGTTAACGCCGACGACGGACGACGGACGCCAAGTGATGAGAAAAGCTCACTTGGCCCTTCGGGCCAGGTGAGCTAATAAGGAGATAGTTCTTTTGCTGTTTGAATCTTTAACATTAAATCGGTGATTATTCATTCTTTTATTTAGTCTTTTATCGTGTTTCACCGACATACAAACAGTACCTTCAATGCCTTAAACTATATTGAAAGCAGAACATTCTAGATCCTTGTGACTGCAAGGGTTTTAATATTTGGAAGTCATTTCTTTGAAAACAGGAAATAAGAATATAAAATGTTTTACATTTTTACACAGATAAAAATGTTATATGTGGTCGCTGAAATGTCAAACAGAGGCGGAAGATACGAGAGGGATGTTCAAACTCACAAGTAGAAGACATACAGACAACAAAATGATAAATGAGAAAGAGAAAAGATAAAAATACAGTCTACAAAATACAACCCCTCCAAAAAAAATAAAAAAAATAGGGGTTGATCTCAGGTGATCCGGAAAGTTACAGATCCTGCTTCAAACATGGCACCCGTCGTGTTACTCGTTTAAGTACAAATTGGGTTAAGTATGTCATTCGGTGATGTCACGTTTGGGGAAAAGAGTTCGGGATTGTGATATCGACAATTGGAACACATCCATCGTCATCTTTGAAACGGATATTCCATAACGGTCTATTAGCTTGTGATGGCGTCCTTTTTACGAAGGTATGACTTAATTTGCTTTATCTATGGAACCCTTGGTTTGTAAGTAGTACTTTCTAGTAAATCATGAATTTAAACGGAAGCTCTGGAATATCATTTCAACCGGGAGATAAATACTCCATATGCAGGCGCTGCTGGAATTATGCTACTTAGAAATGGAAAGTTCATAACTGCGAAGCTGAAATCATCACTTTTGTCGTTAATTTGTGTTCTCGACCGAGCCTTATTGTCAATTTCTAGATGTAAGTCAAGATATGAACACGATTTGACTGTATCTGTGGTTTCCTTTCAAATCGATGGGATGATATATCCAACAGTCTTACAGTGCAGGAAACAATATAATTGCATTACTACAATGGGAAATCTTTTAAAGACGTTTCCATTACATCTCTTAAGATAATCCTGTGGACACCTATAATTTTCAGAGCCGTGTCCTTCACAACATCGAAAACAAAACCCAACTTTTGATGACTGGCAACGTTTCGTCCAGAATCTTTTTACTTTTACTCTTTGGCTTTCTGTTTAGCTACCGGATAGTTAAATTCGCAGGAACAAAATTGTCCACCAGTATAGATTCGAACGGAGGTAATAGATATGAGGCAACGATATTTCACCAATGTTCAAAACTTCGTTATACATTGTGAATACGAAGATATCAATAAAAAAGCCGAGAGAGAATTAGTTGCATGAACTAACAAAGCAAGGCAATGTGCGTCGACAGGATAAGCGTCAACTCATATGCATACACACACGCCATGGAATTTCAGACTCCTCGGTAAAGGTGTCACACATTAGGGAATAGGACACCATCGGTAAATTTAAAGATCGGACGAATATTCTGGTGTCTTGAAATTTAGGACCTCGAAAACATGTCTCTCGTGAATTGTGGCAAATCACGGAATGACTCAGAATATTGCTGTTCTGCGTGTAGTAACTAAAAACTTGTCATGGCCATGTACAAATTCGTGCTTTTAATTTACTCGATAAGTACTTCTGTGTTTTTTTTTCTTAAAAAATAAACACTTCATAATTGCATGCATCTGAAGCGAATTTTTTTCTGGATTTACCTTCGTTAGGAACGCCCATAATATTTGAAAGCCAAGGATGTATAAGAATCGAAACAGTTGGAGCTATATGACCAAAAAAGACCTAAAAATACCAAATCAATCTAAAGGTAACCTTGCACGAGGGAGGTGAAACCTTAATGTCATTTGTTTTCAATTTGGAGTTTAATTGCTTTCGAGTTTCACATTTTTGTGTAAAGCATGAATTTCAAAATGGTAATAATATATTTAATACTTAATTTTAAACAACTATGCTGTAAGCTTCATTGATAAGTGTTATATATACACTATAGATGCGTGTTGTACTGTTTCAATTTGAAATATTTGTTATTGTATTTAGGTAAAAGCTGATTTTAATAATATTTGTACCCATCTCTTATCAGTTGATTAATACGGATATTGTGTTATTAAAATGTGCTGTTACAAAATTTAGGAAATTGTTTTAAATTAAGGAATATGTCTCCCGCATGCAAATCTCTGATTCCTTTCCCGGCTTTGGCTATACTTTTTGTCCCTTTGGTTAAAGCTCTTCAATTTATTAATAAGTTTTGGATTTTCAAACATTTTGGCCTCGAGCATCACCGAAGAGACATTTATTGTCGAAATGCACATCTGGTACCAAAAAATTATGATACCGTTAATGTTATTAAGCAGTTTTCGAATTACCCCTTTGCAATACACCCTTTAACCAAATACAGAAAAGTATATAAAAACATACCAAACGAGATATATAAGGATGGATAGAAAAATCATATAAAATAAATTTTCTGAATATGAGGAAGCGATCTTTATTCAAATAAAATGCTGTTTCTGGAATATAATGAGAAGTCTGATATTACAAATTTCTTAAATTTCTGGAAAATAAAATAACTTGATTAACAACCTCTTTGTAATCAGCGTTTACGACAGTATTGTGAACGCGCTCATGATGCATGTATTTTTCCAACAAATGATGAGGTCGTGGATATGACCTCATGTCCTGTAATGTTCTGAACATGGACGCCAAGTCGTCTGTACTCTCAGTTTTTCCAATAAAAGACATAATTTCTGGTGCAAATTTATCACAATGGGCTGTTGAGGCTATTATCATAGGTCTTTTACCATTGTTAAACCTATCACCGACTGCCTTTGCTACTGCAGTATGCGGATCTAACATATACCCTGAAATATATTTAAACGTATAGTGTAAATCTAAAACAATAAGAGAAATAAACATAATAACGGATTTACAATAGCAAATGTTTTTTTAATTCATAATAACTATGTACTCATGTATAAGCTTACAGGCACATACTGTACTCTAGCCTCTTTTCCTATGTATTGTCTTTTACCAATTGGCAGTCAATTGTAACTATATTTTTTTTAATTTTTGAACACAAGAACATTAATACATTAAAGGAAAGGGTTTTGTGTATCAATGATATAGTATTGAGAAAATTAATGTCTTGATTTTGAATATTGGATTTATATTGTTCATTTTGCTTCAAGAGCTTTCTCTAACATGATTAACATATTATTATCTTATCTTATCTTATATCAAACGCCTCATTAAAATTCAAATCACAAAAACCAATGTCATACTTTTGACTCTCCCATGTTGAAGATAATTGTATTTGCTGTCCAGCATGCAATGATTACTAGCTAACTCTTCCAATTAACAATAGGTTTACACCAATTCTTTAAATATGGGTCTTATCGACTTTTATGTACAGTTAAATACTAAAAAATGTCCATAAAAATCTACAAATCTTTATAATCCTGTACATTTCTACAATGTGCTGATTAGAATAGCTAATTTTACTGATCTTATTGTTAGACCAGGGAAAGCTTGATTGGTTGTATCAAATTGCAAGAAATGTTAACTTTTGAACAGCTTGGCAGAATTTCCAGAATTCAATAAAAAAAAAACCCTAACTAAATACACATCCAAATCATACATGTAATACTAATAAGAAAGTGACTTTAAATAAACTCGTCATAGATACCAGGCATATGGGCGTTAACATCTTACTTTCTGTTACTTTAACATAGTTTCCATCAGAAGTGAAACGAACCACTTATGGTTTAGTCTTACTTAATAAACTCATCATAGATACCAGGATTAAAATTTTGTACGCCAGAAGCGCGTTTCGTCTACAAAAGACTCATCAGTGTCGCTTGAATAAATTGTTTTTTAAAAAGGCCAAATAAGGGACAAAGTTGAAGAGCATTGACGACCAATATTCATAAAAGTTTTGCCATACAAGCTAAGGTAGTCTATTCCTGCGGTAGAAAAGCCTTAGTATTTCGAAAATTCAAAGTTTTATTAACAGTAAATTTATAATTATGACCATATCAATGATAATTCATGTCAACACAGAAGTGCTGACTACTGGGCTGGTGATACCCTCGGGGAGAAAAACTCCAGCAGCTGAGGTATCAACCCAGTGGTTGTAAATAAGCTCATCATAGAAACTACAATTCCGTTATACTTGCCGAATACATTTTTGATTAATTACTATAGTCTTAATATCATCTTTTTACAGCAATTCAACTAAAAAGCTTTCAACTTGAAGTTTAAATACCTGTCCTTTTAAGAGTGTCTTTAATTGTTGAATGACATTTTTGTTCGCTGCACCAATCAGCAGTGAACATACTTTTGATTTTCTTCATTATCTATACAGGAACATGAAACAAAACAAGACTAGATAGATCTATACATATCAAAACATAGCCTTAAAGTTCATTACGTATTGCTTGCTTAATTGTTAGTAAAAGAATTTGATCCACATTATTTTTCTACAATAATTCTAAGTACTTATGTCAAAATCTTAAATTAGGAGGTAAGTTTTCATTTTTTTTTAACAAAAAAAGGTGTAAACGGAATTTCGAGAAATCGCAAGTTTAAGTGAAACAAATGCATTTTTCAGTGCTCTTTACTTAAATTCTATATATATTTTGCAAGATATACTTCATAATTTGAATTGATTGTATATCTGGCAGTATGAATGCATCATACATTCTTTTTCATTAATAAGATGACGCAGTTCAACTAATTTTCTAATTCACCGTAAATATAAGTATATATATATATAGTGTTTCGGCCTTTTCCTCACGAATACATATTTCATCATACTTACATCTGGTGGTACCTCAAAACACCTTTGGGCATTAAGTGAACCAAAACATGAATTCACCAAGTATGAGTTCTCATTTGACAAGTGATAAAGGTATCGTTCAAGATTTGATGATACTAGGATGTCGATGGCTGGTGAAATTGTCTTTACAAGACGTCGTCTTTGGATATCATAGCGACCAGTGTTAATAAATTCCGTTAAAACGTTGTTCGCATTTGAAGCACATATAAAACGTTTAATGGGTATTCCCATTTCCTGTAAAACAAGAAGAACAGAACACTTTTTATATATGTTGAAACTTTTTTGTTTCCTAGAAAAAAAAATCTCACAAAATTATCGAACTCCAAGGTATATTGAAAAAGGTGAAGTCCATAAACACTGACATAATCAAACGTTATCAACTAAAGGAACAAGTGAAAAAACAACTGTTATATTCCTGACTTGTTACAGGCATTTACCGAAGAAAATGTTGAGTTAAACCTGGTTGTATAGCTAGCTAAACCTCCCACTTGTATGACAGTTGTATATAGTTCCGTTGTATTGACAAAATTGGTTAGCAACCCAAACAGACATAATAGGTTAACTAGACAATAATTGGGGATCAAGCAGCGAAAACCGTTTAAACATCCATCACAGACATACAACACAGCTGACTAAAAAATTGAAACAGACATACAAATAAATCTAACAAAGATGCCGAAAAAAAGTTGCATGGGTTTTGCTCATTGTTGAAGTTCAAACAGTGCCCTGTAGTTGTTAACATCCTCCATGGTCAACTTAATCAAATTTAAATTCATCAAAGATACCATGCTTATACTTTGGTTCGTCAGGTGCCAGTTTCGGATATTCAAGACTCTTCAGTGGCGCTCGAATCAAAACAATTGGAAGGCCATATCAAATAAGAAGTTGAAGAGCATTAAAAACTGGAAATTCCGAAAAGCTGTACAAAAAAAAGGCTAAGGAAACCTATGTCTGTGAGCAGAAAAACCTTAGTGCTACGGATAATTCAACTTTTTATAAACAGATCATTTATAGAAAATGAACATATAAATTATATTTCATGTCACTAATAAGTGTTGATTACTGAGCTGGTGATATCCTCGGAGTCGAAACGTCCACCAGTAGTGGCAAAGACCCAGTGGTTTTAAAAGCATATCAAAGATACCAGGCATATAATCCAGACAATGATTGTGCAGGAAAATATAAAAGGAAAACTATGCCATCTCAAAATAAGCTACCAGGTGTTTAGATAGTAAACAGGATTCAAAATCTTCAGCAGCTAATTAGAGATATATGACCAATAATCAATAAAATTTTGACATTCCCACTGAACGGAGATAAACTTTAGGAAGCCTAATTCATTAAGTTATGCTACGACAAATTTAAAAGCTTTCTGAACTCTGTGCTTTTTTATTTAATAAAATTAAGACGAATAGTACAATGTAAGAATACCAAATTTATCGAATTGAAATTGACAAAAATAATCAATCAAATGAATGAAGTAATGAATACCTTTGCATAGTACGCCGCTAATATATTACCAAAATTACCAGTAGGTATGCAGACGTCTATCTCATCACCAACAGCAATAACTCTATCTTTTACCAAATCTAGATATGCTGAAGCGTGGTAAACGATTTGTGGCAAAAGTCTACCCCAGTTTATAGAGTTGGCGGCACTACAAAATAGTTAACTAGATTGACACTTTCATATATAATGATATTCGACTATAAAATAAATGCTTAAATAAAAACGTTATAACCAATCATGATTTCCTAAGACTTAAAGTTAACAACAGTTGTAATTTAAATTAATTACACAGAAAATTATCATAAAAATAGTATAAATCAATGCATTAACTTTTTTGATTCGAGCGTCACTGGTGAGTCTTTAGTAGACGAAACGCGAGTCTGGCATACAAAAATATAAACATGGTGTCGTTGTTGAGTTTATTTTACAACCACTGGGTCGATGCCACTATTGGTGAAGGTATCCTCCTCGAGGGTATCACTAGGCAAGTAGTCAGCACTTATTTGCGCTGACATGAAAAATCATTGATATGGAAATATAAATAAATTAACTGTTTACAAAACTGAATTATTCGACATACTAATATTTTCTACCCCGGGAATATATTACCTAAACTGTATTCGGTAAAACGTTTCGGAATTTTTGGTCCTTAATGCTCTTCAACTTCGTACTTTATTTGGTCTTATTACTTTTTTTATTTGAGCGTCACTGATGAGTATTTTGTAGACGAAAGCGCGTTTGGCGTACAAAATTACAAGCTTGGTGTCTTTGATGAATTTATTTAGAAATATTTTGAAGGTTTCGTGACGCGTGTTTCCAATCACGTTTCTAAATTTAAATTTTCATAGATGCGATTCTGACCAATTTATCGGCCAGTTGGGCACAAATCAAATCTTTAATATGCAATGGACAGCCGCTTTTTTTATTTTTTAATATGTGCTCCATCAGCACTTACAAAAATATCTCAAAACAAAAGTGAAAACTAGATAATTTTTTTATCTGTTATTTTTCGATTATGAAAACAAACTTTCATAGAAAATCACTTTGCCAAATAAAAATAAACCAACAACAAACAAAAACAATAAATACAACATTAATGCATTGGTGAAAGGGATGTTTCTTGTACTCTCTACAAATGTGTATTACTGCTTCCAACAATTTGATCGTAGCTATAGGTTTTAAATTGTTATTTTTAAGTGTTGCATTCTTTTATTAAGCGATTAACATGACATTACCTTAATTTACAGTTATTTTCCTGTAAAAGCATGTTGGCTAGTAGTGGGTCTTGGAAAGCCATTTTGACATATGACTGGCAGTCATCAAAATCACCATTTACTCCTGAAATATTGAATTATGCCTGTAATTCTAGTTTTTTGTTCACCTTATTGTAAAAAGAAACTAAAGAAACTTATCAACGATTTAGGTGAGAGTAAAAATGCCTAAGCATTTGCCATAGTTGTATATTCATAAGGGGACTAGTAAATAGAAATAAATTTGATCAAATGCAAGACAATAGGGCTTGTCGGTTCTAAAGTTGATCAAAGTTAATCACAAATATACCATACCTACAACGTGGACGTTGTTTGATTTTATAGACGTCATTTGTTTCTTTTGAACATCACTGATTCCATTTTCAGGGAACAACACCAGAACTCCAACGCCCGAATGACCTGAAACAGAGTATATTAAAATCACATTCTAAAATATACTGAACAACTTTTATTGATATTCTACTAGAGCAAGATGCTGTACGGGGATCTAAGTGAGCAACCATTTGATAATCTGGGGAGGGCAGGGATTTGTTACCCTAGCCAATTTATTTTACCCTAGGACAGAAAACATATTTTGTTTTAAGTTTTTGTGCAAACATTTTTTTTTTCATTTTCAAATAGTAAAATTACTTGGATGATCCCTAGGACTTCTGTGGCTTTCCTCTTTCTGACATTTGATTTTTTATCAGCTCTAAAACTTTTTGACTTCAAACCATTTGCAGGAGCAGAACCAATGTAAACTATCAATTCTACTTACTAGTACACTTGGTACAATCAAAAACCTATTAATAAATTGTTCAAATAAGGCCTTTGAAAATAGTGGAATTAATTACTTTTTGAGTGTCAAAAATCCGTTGGAAGTACTTGATAAATTTCATGCTCATATATATTGGTGATTTCGAATCTGTTCAGTTTTAATTTTTCTACCCTATATACCATTTTGCCTCATAATCTCATTAAGGAAAAATTCACATACCTAATCAAATTAGCATTTAAAAAGTCAGAATGCGAATATTTATGTTCAAACTCTTTTAGGTCATTTTTAGTAAAAAACAAACAAAAGAATATGTCAACTGGAACTGCTTTGATACGATACCTGCACTTGAATTTTTTTTTTTTAATCTTCCACTTATTTCGTACCAAGCATTACTACACTGATGAGTCAGTAATCGTCGAACTGTGCATTGGATAAATGGAATCTTTCATTATGTAAATAGTCTAGTGATCAGAACTGTCTTTTATATATTCAGCACCGGGTTTTGGTAAAGATAATATTGCTCAGTCTTTAGTTTTCTATGCTGTGTTTGTATACTGCTGATTGTTTTCGTGTTTTGCCATGGCGTTGTCAGTGTCATCAACTTATGAGTTTAAATATCCCATTAGTATCTTACGCCTCTCTTTTAACAATCTGTCAGTACTTTGCATGACAATTGCTATACTCATGGTATATTTTCCCGAGGCATTTGTTTTTAATATTCTATAGTTTCGTTGTACCTTATCAATATTGCATAATACATTCATATATGTCATATACTTTAACATCATATTTCGTGATTTACCCGTATATTTAGAAAATCCATCCAACACGGCACCACCGGTGTCTCCTGATGTGGCAACTAGTATTAAATATCTACAAGAATGGATATCGTATTTATGCATATTCAAAATCACATCTTGCAGATTTGAAATATTTCAAGTTTATTTTACTACCACTGGGTCGATGCCACTGCTGGTGGATGTTTCCTCCAAGAGGGTATCACTAGCCCAGTAGTCAGCACTTATTTGTTGACATGAACTATCATTGATATGGTAATATAAATAAATTAACTGTAAAACTTTGAATTATTCGACATACTAATATTTTCGACTCCAGGAATAGATTACCTTACCTTAGCTGTAGTGTATTTGATCAATTTCGGAATTTTTGTTCTTCAAATAATGCTCTTTAACCTATGTCATCTTTGAATGAAAGACACACATTTTCGAAAAGCATGTAAACATTATGATGCTACTTAATGAAAATAAAACTTTATTAATTTGGTGCGTCCGATCTACATTCATCAAGAATGCTCCAACATAAAATATATGAGCAAAAGAAGCACAAATACCTGAATACGCTAGGAGCTATGCGACCAAAAGGGACAAAAAAGAATAGCCGAAACCACCTTAGGTTATATTGGCCTGAGGGAGTTTAAATCTTATTTCTTTAATAATTTCTAAATTTATCAACGGAGAAATTTAGAAAGGGATGTTATAATTCATATAAGTACCGAAGCATTGACTACTGAAACAATGATATCTTTGAGGACTAGCAGTCCCTCAGCAGCGGTATCGATTTGAAAATGAAAATAACGATTCCGTGCATCTGACGTGATTTTGTACCTTCACCATGAACTATCAAATTCAAAAAATTGAAAATACTTGAGTACGGAAGGAGTCAGGCTTTATGCTGAAAATGGTAAGATATAAACTATTTGGCTTCGGTGTTCATTAACAAGAAGCCAAAATCACCACAGTAGCAATAAAATGCATTATTTGTGTATCTAAAAAAAGGTCATCAAAGACACCAGACTTTTAGTTGTATTCACCAGACGCACGTTTCGTCTACAAAAGACCCATCAGTGAATTAAGAAATTAAAAGGTAAAATAAAGTACGAAGTTGAAGAGCATTGAAGACCAAAAATTCCAAAATGTTTTGACAAAAACAGCTAATCAGAAGCCATTGGTTTTTGTTTATGCAAGTTTCGTTTACACATATTTCTTGTCATTTCATGGCAGGAACTAATATAGTGTGACCGTGCCAAACGGGTGACTTTAGGGACTCGATGTTCCATAAAATTACTAGCCGTAATTGTGTATCCTTGCTTCCCTGTGGTAGAAATTTATTCAAAATGCTGCGTGAAACATGGCGTGAGTTTTTCTTATTATGGCATTCGTAACAAGCATGTATCTCAGAAGAAATAATACCACTTTGTAGTTAAATGGATGCAAGACTAAAGCAGTGATAATAAACTATTTCTATCGCTGGTGATTGGTTCAAAAAATGTATGTTGAATAATTGACTTTTATTTAAAAATGTTTTGTAAATTTTATAAAGGGATTTTACCTTGTTGATGTTCTGCCTAAAACTTGTAAAGCGTGAACAAAGAATTGTGGCAATAGCTGTAGCGCAGCGTCTTTGAATGATGATGTTGGTCCGTGGAAAAGTTCGAGTAAATACTGATTTTTTTCTAGTTGTCGAACCGGAAATATCTCTTTACTTTCAAAACTCCCTTCACTGTAAGCCATGTTAATGAAATTTTGAAGTAATGCTGGATGGAGATCGTCCGGGTGGATCCATTTCTCTAAGATTCTGAGAGCTCTATCTTGGTATGATAGGTCAACTAATCTGTCTAACTGTTTTTCCGAAAATTTTGCAATGGTGCTGTTCGGGACAAATAATCCACCATCTGGGGCTAAGCCTTGAAGGATTGCTTCGGAAAATTTTATTTCATGCGGCTGTTTAGAAAGGTCTCTCGTTGAGACGTAACCCGATGAATTCTGATAACGTTTAAGCTCTGCGACAATCTTTCCCGCTATCGAATCTTGAGTTTCATTTTCTTCGCAAATGACTCGAATGTCATATGCCTTTTCGTAAAACGATTGTCTATATTTTAGTATTTCTATCATCGGTACATCAGGGCTTTGTCCTACAATACGACTAACTTTCATTTTTTCTAGTCGATCAACGATGTCGTCATTTCTAGCGTCCAAGAAAACTACAATTCCAGTTTTGGAGATGTGGTTCATAGCGGCTGAATACATTGGATTTGATCCAGATAATGATACCACGTGTCCATTGCGATCAAAGTGAAGTAACGCCTTTCCTTCTTCTTCCACAAAACGATCAGATCCAACCTCAGATAACTGAAAGAATTCGGTAAGATTATCTTTATACACATAATAAACAAAATTTATACATTTACCTCTTGTATCATGTTACTTGTTAATGGAAAATTACAAAAATTCTTAAAAGTATGTTTATTTCAAATAGAACCACCTATAGGGTATTTCAATTAAGATAGTGATTTTCTGTGGACAAAATTTCATAAAGAAGTCAATATCAAAAAAGTAATAAAATATCAGAAATCAAAGGACATAAAACACAGTAGCAAAAACATTATGCAGTACAATGAAGGCTGTGCAACACAAATTACATTAAAATCCCGCGGTGTGAACCAGGTACTCCCAGAAATGTAAGCAGTTTTTACTCCATCTGCAGCATCTGCCCTTTTGCTCATGACAAGCTAATATCAGTGGATGAGTTGTATTTGAGGATACGTAAATAACGAAGAAAGGAATATGGGATTGGGAGTACAAGAAATAAGAAATATCGATGGACATCTTTGATACAGACGTCCTGCTACGGTCAAATAAAGTCATTATGATGACCAAAAGGGATGAGATAACTTCAACTTTACAATTAATATATGTCCAGTTTGTATGTAAATAAAATTGAGAATGGAAATGGGGAATGTGTCAAAGAGACAAAAACCCGACCACAGATCAGACAACAGCAGAAGGCCACCAACAGGTCTTCAATGCAGCGAGAAATTCCCGCACCCGGAGGCGTCCTTCAGCTGGCCCCTAAACAAATATATATACTAGTTCAGTGATAATGAACGCCATACTAAACTCCAAATTGTACACAAGAAACTAAAATTAAAAATAATACAAGACTAACAAAGGCTAGAGGCTCCTGACTTGGGACAGGCGCAAAAATGCGGCGGGGTTAAACATGTTTATGAGATCTCAACCCTCCCCCTATACCTCTAGCCAATGTAGAAAAGTAAACGCATAACAATACGCACATTAAAATTCAGTTCAAGAGAAGTCCGAGTCTGATGTCAGAAGATGTAACCAAAGAAAATAAACAAAATGACAATAATACATAAATAACAACAGACTACTAGCAGTTAACTGACATGCCAGCTCCAGACTTCAATTAAACTGATTGAAAGATTATGTCTTCATCATATGAATATCAGGCACAATCCTTCCCGTTAGGGGTTTAGTATCATACCATCATAACATATATGAGAAGAACATAACCCGTGTCATGCCAACAACTGGTTTTTAAATAAATGTGTTTAGTGCCGATGCAAAGACCCTATAAGTGAATCAATATTAACGCCAAAATATGCAATCTTTAATGACCTGACAACAGTATCGTAACTATATCCCTTCTTAATAAGTCTATTTAAAGGTTTTGTTAGTTTCAGAGGTGAAGACAGATAAATATCGACAGAAAGAAATAATACGGCGGTTAATTGTGATATATCAAGCAAACATGACCAGTAAAAATAAAGTTACCTTATCTGCCACGGACATTCCCCAATATGGTTCTAAGTGATGATCATCAATGTCAGCCACTGGCAAACCAAGACGTTTCCCCAGGATTCTTCCTACTGTAGTTTTACCGGAACCAGGACATCCCATTAATATTATGTTTGGCTACAAATATTGATTATACGATGAAAATATAACATGGTAAAACAAATTCTAGTACATGGAAGTTGAAAATTATTGTTAATTCATGTGGCATTTTAACATAAAAAGGTCATGTGCAATTTTTAACTGTAACACACTGTTCCAAAATGAAATTATTCCTCGCCTCGTCTTTTTCTTATACTAGTATTAAGCATTTACCGTTACCAGTGTTAAAAAAATAAAATAATATGCATGCCAATCATTATACATAAGCACAGGGTTGGTGATCCGTTGAGTCTTAATGTTCAAGTCGTTCGAGTCATCTAAAGTTCTCATATATACAATTTTGATTTAATACTTGATCTACAACTTACGTTATTACCACATCATAAAAGTTCTGCATTAAAGTCTTATAAAATGACTTTGCATTTCTTGTTCACTATTCTACTCTATTCATTTTAATGCTTGTATTTCATTGAAATGTGATTCATTTTTTCCTACGGAACATTCCACCATGATTTCAGTTTGAATTTAACCTGAGTTCAAGATTATTTATAGACATAGAAATGGAATCTTTTACAAGATTACTACAATTTCCCAACACATTGGTTTATAAAACAGAAATTATGTTTGAAACCTTGTGTAGCGTTTGGAGAGTTCCGCTTTCCATGCATGATCAATACCACATTCTTTTAGGATTTCGAAAGAACGAGAAGCAGCATTAAGGGTGTTACAAAAAACACCACAACTCTCCCTATTTTTAAAGGCTGTCAAGAGTCATTACTTATTTGTGTCCATTTTTGGATTCTCCCACTTTTTATACAAACAGCAAAAAAAGCGATCGAGATCATCTTTTTTTGTTACAAATTTGGGTTTCGTTCAGTTATTAGCATGACCATATACGATATGTTGAATATTCTGACGAGTTGACCATGATTAAAACTGGTTAAAAATAATATTATTAATATGTTCATTAAGTGGTGTTGGTCACTTGAGATTTGAATATCTCAAAAGACGTAGCTGTGGCGAAGACAGTTTGTTCCAGTCATTTAAGGTGTTAACTTAGAAATCCCACCTCCCAAAATCTTTTATGACTAGCCGATGTAGGTAGGTACGATCTCCTGTACAGCTGTAGCTTCTTATTAGCGATTGCGTGTTATTGTCCTTGTCTATAGCTACTGGGTCATTTTATATTTTGCAACACATTATAAATCGTTCTTTTTGACGCCACGTTTGTAGAATTTTCCATCCTAGTTCACGTATCATTTTGCTTCCAAATGAACTAGTTATATGTCTGCTGATAACATAGCCTGCAGCTCGCCTTTGGCGCTTTTCCTATTTTCCTTATAGGGGTCCTATACTGTGGTGACATTTTCCCTATATGGTTTCGTTGTAGGAAACCATTGAGGGCTTCGGGTGGCTTTACCTGTGTGGTAGTTTATATGTTTTTTCTATCTAAATCACTTGCGATTGTGTAGGCCAGATGACTGTGAGGACCATGCATTTTTCAGAGTGGAAGTCTCTTTTCCAAGCGTTTCCTATTTTTGTCAGTTTGTCCTGGTCTTCTTGGAGTTTATGGCAGTTATATGAGTTTTCTGATCCTATACTGGTATAGTTTTGTTTTCCGTTTGTCAAGCTGTTCCTGATACCAATAATACATCCAAAGATCTTCGTTTCACAAAAACAGTCGTGATGTTTTACTCCTGAATCCATATTGAAAAGGGTATAACGTGTCATTTGTCTGAGGATGTTTGCTGATGATACTAGATACTATATGTTCTATCATTTTACAACAGATCATTATGAAGAGATATTGGCCTGGAAAGAAATGAAAATAAATACCATTGCCCAAGACAGGATGAAAATGTGTATTCTGCCCCTCAAATTGCAGGAAATAGCAAAGCCTTGCGAAACAGATAGACCCGCCTAACAGTTGATGTTATAATTTATTATCATATTCGCGAAAAACCCTCTCGGTCCTTCCCCGTGATATCAAATGGTCCTCCCTTAGATTAAGCAGCGGATATCCTCGGGAAACACTTCAAGACATGTTCAAGGAAAAACTGTTTCCGAGACTGGCGGATTTTTCTCCATATATCTGGAAACTATAGCTTTTGCTTCTGTCTCTGCTTTTGTCAAATAATGGTTACAATAAAAAAAAACTCCATGAATCTGACACCCCCCCCCCCCCAAAAAAAAAAATTGAATTAAATTCGGCTTTGTCATCGAGGCTTTAAAAGCTTCAACTGACAGTGATGCTACAACTCCAGGAGGAAGATCGTTCCAATCCCGGGTGTTTTGGGAAGAATGAGTATTTGTCGTAATTACAAGATGCCGATGGTTCGATGTAACTGGGTCAAAATCATGAAAAGATACCATGTTTGTAACCATGCTTGTAATTTTGCACATCAGACACGCGTGTCGCCTACAAAAGACTCATCAGTGACGCACGAATCAAAAAAGTTAAAACGCCGAATAAAGTACGAAGTTGGAGAGCATTGAGAACCAAAAATTTCGGAAGGTTTTGCCAAATACAAGTATGGTAATCTGATCGTGGGGAAGAAAATCCTTAATATTTCAAACAATTTAAAGTTTTGTAAACAGTTTAGTTATTAATATTACCATGCATATTTCTCGGCAGTCGTTCGATGGCGTTAGACACCTTTGAAATGGCTTTACTTTGGTTTTTTTTAGAGCATGATGAGTTTCGCTTCTTTTCAACATTGTTCTAGGGATGTCCATGATAGGTGTTGGAATTTCGTCCTAACACTTGATTTGTTATGAGGTTTATAAGATACATAACGTGGTATTCTTCTTTATAACATCTTCATTCGGTCAGTATCTGATTTAAAGAGTGGATCCCATAATTGAATGGCGTATTCTACAATTTGTCGTACTAGTTTTGTGTAGGCATTCTCCTTTACTGTGGCTGGTCCTACATTTTGTGTATATCTAAATATGTTTTAAGGAAGCAATTTCTCTATTTGCTTTGTTACATATGTTGTTTACAGTGACATGGTCATTCCATCGGAGTTCTGATGTAAATCATTTGATGAGTAGCCGATGTATTTTGCGCTGTTGACTGTTTCAAGAGTGTGATCATGTAGGTTGCATGAAGTTGCAAATGTGTCGTTTTTCTTGTTGATGGTTAACACATTCCATTTGTCTCGATGGAAGGACATTTTCCATTTCGTTTCCTTCATACCATGTCTGTCCAGATCTTTCTGTGAATCATATGAATCTTTGTCTGATGCTAATGTGAGCTACGCTATTGTATCGTCTGAAAATGACAGTTCATTTATAAAATCCCATCGGGCCTGTTGTTGATGTAGAACAGAAATAATGTATACGCGCTCAAGTTATGATCCTTGGGTAAACTCCAGACTCTACATCAATATGAGAAGAGCTTTCTCCATCCCAAACCAACTATATTAGTCCGATGAGACAGAAAGCCTATAGCGACCTACTTGTTGACTTTCTGTTTGTAATCATAGTGCATCATGTGCTGTTATGGTCTCTCAACGTTGCTTTATGATATGGGACGCATATATAAAAGCAGTACCAGCAAAAGATCGTAACAGTTGGGCAGCCCGCAACAGCTATGGTTCTTCAGCATGTTCAGTTTAAGGGTTCCTTGAGGCTTGATGCTGAAATTACTACAAATATAACTGAATTGTGTAAGACCTACGATCAATTTTAGTCGTATGATTTTTTTTGTGAAACCGTGAGACATTCCTAAATAACAGCAGTGGAAACAACATTGAACATAAACATTAAATTTATCTAATAAAAGAAATGTATATATTACATAGTACATTTGTAGTATATGTGTGTATATAATATACCTATATAATTGATATAAACTCGTCAAGATTACCTGTTTACCATCTGATTTTGTAGAAAATGTTCTGTCAGGTAATTTGCGACCAGAACACCAGCTGATTCCTGTCTTTGCTTGTCTGAAAAGTCTCGTGCGACATTTTAACAAATTGAACAACGAATTCTGAAATTTCATGTTGTTTACTATTTAGGCTTTACTAAATCACTAAATCTTTACAGGATATGGATACGTATGTGTGTGCTTAGCCTAGATAGATAACATTTTTTGCAACTGAAGTATAACATATCTTATGAAGATACAGTTACTTGTGAAATTAAGAAGGCAGGTATACGAAACATAGATGTGATGAAATATGTAAATAGTATTATAAAAGTACAGACACATGTTACAATATAGCAACGCCGGGGGATATATATGCACTAAAATGAAACTATCATAAAATGGACAGACATAAGCTTTTATAGCTTAGTATATATACGATGTGGATTTTGCCGAGTCAATGTTGAAGGCCATACAATGACCTTGTTTACCTCCTCGTCGTTTGGTCTCTGGTGGATAATTGTCTAATTGGCATTCATTCATACATGTAGCCGTAAATCTCTCTTATTTTTATATATCAAAGGCTCGCAAAGTAATTACGTCGACTACATGCATAACAGAGACGTCCTGGTCCAAAACAGCACTGCATGTGGTCATACAAGGCTTTTAATAAATCAATTTTTTTTTATTTGTTTCTCAATTGTCGAAGATCTACATACAACAAACTTTTTTGCTATCATTCTTTAAAATAAAATTAAAAAAAAACTAAGAGAATATATATATATACAATTAATTTTAAGGTACAATGTATAACACCATGGCTACTGAAAAAAGACTGCACTGAGGACTAAACGATTTAACAACAGTCCACAAAACAAGTCACAGAAAACTTCAGATGAGCAACACCATGAACTGGAACCCATAATTTAACGGGGATGAATACGAGCGTTCTATCGTCAGTTCTAGTAGCAAAACTCATAATAGTATTCAGCGTAAAATATTCAGAGCTCAGTGACCATGGTGACCGGTAACGTGAGAACAACTTGATGTCTTATGGATTTTGATTTCTCATAAGATTTATAATAGTTTGTTAAATGATATGTAGAACCAGCATGAATATAATTCTTAACTTGACTGAAGCCCAAAACATATTTGATCATATTTTTACTCCCTGCAAAGTGATGATCAGTGATCCGTCTGAAAAGTTTGGTTTGGGTTCAGGTCACGTCCTACTTAATTTCTGCCTTTTTATAAATACTAAAATTTTGACAGGTCCCATCTTAATTTTGCCTTTAAGTTATTTTAAGTATTTTATATTTTGCTCTCCTCACACTTGTATATTACTGTGAAGTTTATTATTAAGATTGAACAACTTTTTGACCCATGCCGTTGTGAAAAAATCAAAGGCTAACCCTATCACCATGTCCGTCAGCCCGGTCTACCAACATTGCATATATTTATTTATTGTTTAATTTGTTCTCGTAATGAACGTTAGGTCTGTATTTTGCACGTTAAGCAATCAAAACTTCCTGGTCCGGATTTAGTCGTGTCCGTATCCATAGCTTGATTTGGTGAAGTACTCACAATAAGGTGTTTCCGGTTTGTAGATCAACATTTTCCAAGTATTTATTGTCATCGCTTCTTTCTTCATATTAAGCACAATTTCCAGTCAAAAGTTTATAAAAGGGTAATATTTTAAAGTTCTTATCATTTGAAGCATATTGTTTATTTCAGTGTGCCGTGAATCCACGCATTACAAAGGAGAAATGGACCCATTTTACCCTTCTGCATAATTTGGCCATTGTTCTGATAAGTGATATGTCCGATATCAACAGATATAAGTTCGAACCTTTAAGCTAAAATGGCTGTGTTTACACATCAAAATTTACTCCGAATGCAGACAAACTGTTGTATCCAGAAATTTTTAAGGCATGGCATGCCCTTGATTACTTAGAATTAAGGTTCATGTGGACCCTTTGGCTAAAATGGCTGCATTTTCACCTCAAAATTTACTCTGAGTACAGACAAACCTGCGCATCTGGAAAAGTTTTAAGGCATAGCATGCCCTAGATAAATAAACTTCTAATGCATTGTATGTTTTAGAAAATTTAAAACTTAACTGGATTTAGCAGTGCACTTTTTTTCGTCCCTGCAGAAGATGATAAAATTAACAAACAGTTGAGTTTCACTTGATATGGTCCACTCAGGTACACAGTTTAAATCACCAATTATTGTCAGGTATCTATTGTCCATCTATTGTCCATGTCAATCAAAACAGTTCACTTCAATTATTACCTGTGGGGAAGTTCTCAAACCTCTTTCCCAACTTAGTTTATTTTGGTACCTTCTGGAGGAATGAAAAAAGTGCACTGCAAAATCCGGTTAAGTTTTTAATTTTCTAAAACATAAAATATCTTTGAATTTTATTTATCTAGGGCATGCTATGCCTTAAAACTTTTCCAGATGCACAAGTTTGTCTGTACTCAGAGTAAATTTTGAGGTATAAACGCAGCCATTTTAGCCAAAGGGTCCACATGAACCTTAATCCCTTGAGTCAGGAGGGAATTTCTAATTGGTACTGGCTATGGTTACCCGCAAAAAGTAACAATAAGAAATAATTATTCTTACTTCTGAGACTAATTGCTGAATTGTATTTCCGGACAGAGACCCGATTTCATACGGAAATTGCAGGTACATGTAACAATAAACCTGCAGTTATTGTTACCCGCAAAATTTTACATTTGCAAATTATTTCTTTTTTTGTGTTTAGCATCAGGATACTTTGTACTGTCTTCGTGTTTGAACAAATTTATGAACGCATGTTTATTTCAATTTAGAATAAATTATCTCATTACGGTAATTCTGATCTCTTTTTTTTGTTGTTGCTTTGGACGGTATTTTACAAGAACTTCTTCTATACTAATGCAAAAAAATTGCAACTTTGAATCGTTGAAGTTTATCATTTTTAAATTTTGAAAAGATATAAACTTCTCATTGACCACCAATTGGACATCTTGCTCATTCGAATCAATACTCAGTGAGTTCTTCTTCTTCAGTTACATGTACCATGGTTACAGAAAACTATCAACATACTGATGTATGCTTGGTAACTGTTTCCAAATTTAAAGTTGTTTTAATAGACCCCCTATGTCATGTATGTAAAAAGTAATGGTAGCCAGTGCCTTTCTGATTTGGCCGCCTAAGAGGGGACCAAATCAGAAAATTGGACCTGACTCAGAATCTTAAAAGGGATTTAGTCCAAATAATTATGATGTCTTGGAAGGCTACAATGTATTTCAAGTTTTTGGTTTGATGCCTTCCTGGGCCAAGTCATGCTGGATTTTGCTGTGGACCTTTTTTCGTTCCTAAATAAATAGGATGATAAAGGATCTTCATTAATATGACCCAATTTTCTTGAGGTCTGATTTTTCACTTCAGGGGTTGACAAGTAAAGATCTTTATAAGTAAAAATACAAAAAAATAAATGTAGGTTACCCAGGGTCGTCATTACCGGAGATAGGTAAGTCCTATGTTCAGTGAATATATGCATCAAAAACAAACTTAACAATTATTAATTGACTTAAAAAGATTCATATACTTTATACATTATAAACTATATCTTATTACTATTAGCTTATATAAACCAATTTTAAGCCTTCAGACTCTATACCAGACTTGAGCAATTCTGATCAGTATGACCCAACCAGGATGTATAAAATAAGTCAATAATGATCCTACAATATATATTGAAGTCCCATAAATAGTGGTTGATCTGTGCTTTATTTGACACATGTTCAAATTGCAGTTAAACTGTTTTCATTTTTTTTGTGTTTTACTGTTTGTACATTTGTATTTTAGGGTTATTTGTTTAATCTAAAAAAAGACTTCAAATATGGGAAAAGAAAAGGGAGGATTCCTGTCACCAAAGGCAATTGCTAACCGAATAAAATCAAAAGGTTTACAGAAATTAAGATGGTACTGCCAGATGTGTCAGAAACAGTGTAGAGATGAGGTAAAATTTAAAGAAAGGGGAAAGTTCTAGGGAACATGTAAATTAAATTAAATACCTTTAAAGAAAGATGTTAATTAAAAAGTCTTTCAAAAAGTTTGTTTTAATGCAAAAATCAAGTATATGTTTGGATAAGAGGAGATGTGGTGTATAAGTCAATGAGACAGCAACCCATGGACAAAATAACCAAAAGACATCATTTCATCATGTTCATCTCAAACTTCTATTTTCTTTAAATTTCAATTTAATAGTTTAAAAAAAAATTATCTATACAAATGAAACTCTTGTTTTTCATGAAATTTACAATGCAGAGTGTACACTTTACTGTTTCTTCTACTGTGAGTAACAGTTAAATCTTAAAAACAATATTTATTGTTTCTTTGACAATATCTAGCAGATAGTATTGCAGATGTACATGTACAATAATACACATATTCTGACAACAAGTTGAGCAATAAATCAATTAGTTAAAAGAAGTCAACAGATTTTGGAGACAATATTTAAGGAGTTAAGTGCATGAAGTACGAAGTCAACAATTGCACACAAATTATCATACATGTATGTTTAATTTCACATTAGAATTTAAAATACTACTGTCATTGACTGTCAAAAGGAAAATGATTTAGAGGCAATTGGAAGGAAATTTATAACATTCTAATGAAGCTTACAATTCAAAACAGCACAATATTATTATTTTTGCTACAACTTTCATTTTACAATCATGACAATAAAATGGCTTTGCTTATATTTTTTATATTATATATATTAATGTTGACCAAAAAATAATTAACTGTAGACTTTATTAATAAACTGCAGAATTTATTCTGTAGAATCAGAAAATATTTTCTTGAATCAATCTCCTAAAGTCCTTCAATATTTCTTAGGAGATAAGTAGTTTTTACACAGAATGGTCATTAAAACTCTAACTTATGAATTGATTGACCGTAACTATAATAAATGTCTTAGATACTGTTGGATTTATATTGAATTATTAATATTACAGAATGGGTTCAAGTGTCACACAATGTCTGAATCACACCAGCGTCAGTTGCTGTTATTTGCTGAAAGTCCAGATAAATATATAGATTCATTTTCAGAGTAAGTTATGACATCAGTGTATGTTTTATAATAAAAATAATTAAATCATACTGGTAATTGTACTAAGATACAAAATAACAGGACCAAATTTAGTCAAAAGAAGTATGAAATCTGGATATTTTTTTGTCTCCATGCAAGACACAGGAATGCTTAGCTAGGGGTGGCGTGAGCTCTTTTAAAGCTTCATATTTCTGAAGGGAGAAGAGCTGGGTTATCCATATGAGGTATACAGTGCCTTATGATTTGAGATTTTGGCTTCTTCTATAACTATCAACTATATTGGGTGTATAAAATGTTTGTAAGGTGTACATGTTATGGTGACATGTCCATCTGACATTGTTATAACCCTTGTAGCAATTGAGTGAGGTATCAAGTTTGGCATGTTACCATATCTCTATTCAGCATATTTTGTGTGTCATGAGTTTGATTTCTGCAATTTTGTGTTTTTATTTTGACATTGGAATAGGATTATTGATAGATTGATTGATTGGTGTTTAATGCCACTTTCAGTACTATTGTGCTATTTTGTGGCAGTCAGTTTTTATTGGTGGAGGAATCTGGAGTGCCCTGAGACAACCACCTGCCTATGGTAGAAAAACTGACAATCCTAGTCAATTAAGATTGGAATTGAGCACACATGCCACGTGCCAGATTTGAACTCACAACCTCAGTGTTGACAGGCTAGTGATACAGTAGTTTGACTACTTAGACCACTTGCTCACCAAGTGAATAAGATAAGAAAAAAAATTGGGATTTTATTGTATCGCTACAAAAGTAAAAATGTGAATTCAATTTGCAGTCTGCTCTGAAACCAATGAATGTGTTTATAGCACACCATTCATTGTTTATATGCCCCGAAGTAGGCAGCGTGGCATTAAATGTTACCCTTGACTGTCCGTCAACTGTCCATCCTTCCGTCTGTCTGTCTCCCATTTTCATTTCCGCACTCTAATTTAAGTTTGCCTCACGCAAATTTGATGAAACTCATACACAATGCTAATAACCCAAACTCACAGACAGAGTTCAAATTTGGGCAGTGAGTCACTTACCGTTGTAGAGTTATGCCCCTTTATAACTTGGAAAATTATAAATTTCTTTGTTTCCGCACACTTACTTAAGTTTGCCTCATCCAAATTTTTTGAAACTCATACACAATGCTAAAAACCACAGCACACAGATAGAGATGAAATTTGGGCAGTGAGTCATTTAACGTTCTAGAGTTATGCCCCTTTTTAACATGGAAAATTGCAAAGCGTGAGCGGGGCATTCTAGTCCTCAGACATATTCTTTATTTATTTTAGTATTACTAATAATGATGGATTTTAAATATGAGATGAGATTTAGTTAGGAGTCAGATGTGGGGGAATTTCCTGTTGTTAGGAGTTATATCAGTTATCCCAAGGCTTTAGATGAGGATTGACTTTACCAACCAAGTTTGTTCCTTAATTTGACCATAAAGTTCAAAAGCATAGTAAAGATACTACCTCATGGATCAAAATATCATAGGGCTCACTGAGCTCCATATGAAAATGAGATATGGTATGATTGCCAATGAGACAACTATCCACGAGAGTTCAAATGTTAAAGATATAAGCAATTATAGGTCACCATATGGCCTTCGACAATGAGAAAAGTCCATCATCGAGCATCATTCATTTGGAGAATTCTATTTTAGTTTAAGGTCAGAATTCATAAGTCAAGTTCACAACACAGCTATTCCATATATATATGTCACCATTCCAACCTTTGAACATCCAGTACTTCATTAAATATTTGGAAGATTTTAGCCCAGTATTACATGTACTTTAAAGTATCAATATGTAGCAAATGGATGGACATGAGAATTATTGTTTTCAAATTCCACAGACACTTTCCAGTTAAAACTTCTATACATGTATGAATGCAGAATTTTTCATTGCACGTAAGAAAAGAAAAGAGAATATTTATTTTCTATTATAGAGACTTTCTAAATGACTATGTGGAGTTATTGAAGAGACGATTTGGTAAAAAGAGAGTAAATTGTAATATTGTATATCAAGAGTATATAGCATTCAAAGAACATACACATATGAACAGTACACAGTGGGAAACACTAACAGAATTTGTCAAATGGCTTGGACGAGAAGGTAAAGTTTACACATAACATGCACACAAGTACATGTACATACAAGTCACATAGAAGAATAAGCATGCACACACTTTTTAAAATGTACTTTGAATGAGAATGTAACTTTGATATATTGGAAATGAACAGCTAACACAAAATTTAACAGATATTGTCAAATGGTTGGGATGAGAAATTAGAAGTTTGCATGTTTATTTTTCTCATATATTGAAGTATACCACATATCTTCTTTCATTCATGTGTTTACACAGATCTTTCATTCATGTGTTTACACAGATCTTTCATTCATGTATTTACACAGATCTTTCATTCATGAGTTTACACAGATCTTTCATTCATGTGTTTACACAGATCTTTCATTCATGTGTTTACACAGATCTTTCATTCATGTGTTTACACAGATCTTTCAAGCACACTATAATAACAACAATACATAAAAGAAACAAATTAAAACTGTTATTACCAATATTATGTAAGTATTCAAACCAGTACTAGACTTACTGTTTCGCAAAGTTTTTTGCTATCACAAGAATAGACACTTGCTTAATATTGTTGGTCTGTGTTTTTGGGTTTTCAAGTCACTAGGTTACTGTCTCAGGGACTTATTACCCACAACTCCTTTTAATCATATTACACAAAGTAGGATTTATGTAAAACTCATCAACGATACTAGGCTTATAATTAAGTATGCCAGACATACATTTCCGCAACAAAAATGTCATCAGTGGTACTCTAACCAAAACAGTGGAAATGCAAAATCAATCAAATGAATACTTCGTTGAGTGTAGGTTAGCATCCAGACAAAAGAAGCTCTTTGTTTCCTAATTTTTTTTGTCTTGCTGCTTTTGATAAAAAAAAATTATTATGTCTCAGTTCTATTTTCAGTCACTATACATAATTTGATCATATAAACTTTTGAATGGATACATCCTGGAGTATAGATCATTATGACATACATTTTCGCTCTTCATGGACCTCCTTTCAGTTTGATGTTCAAGGTCGTATCTCTGTCAGTTAACAATATTGGATTATGTAAACTAGCATCCAGCCAAAAAGAAGCTCTTTGTAAACTACTTTTTTTTACCTCATTGTCTTTTTAACATTGCATATTGAATCAATTTAAAATGTATAATTTTTTAATTGTTCTAAGGTAGAAAAATAAAAGAAAGTGATATTCTGATATGTATTTGCATTCAATTTGTTTTAGATTTGATCTTTTTACCAAAAAAAACATAAAATTAAGGAGTATATTGTGAAAGATGACAAAAAAGGGGAAGTAACTCAAATTTAGTGTCAAACAACTTTGAAATAGACAAATTATTTATGACCTTAAGCTAAGGTAATTGGTGTTAATTAACAGTGTGTTTGACACCAAAGCTGTCAAATGAAGCCATGCACTTAATGGGTCAGTTAATTTAACAGTTAACACAGCTATTTGAACTTCCTGTCCAGGAAGAATTACAAATTTGCCGGTAATTCAAAGGAAAATCACTTATTAGATCAGTCTAAAGGCTCAAGAATCCAGGTGAAAACAGGTCATTTTCTGAATTCACTGGTTATTTAAAGACTTGTCGGGTATTTTAAAAATCCCGGGTATGGGGTGAAATTCTCGGGTGTGACCCACAGGATACAGGTCAGTTGACAGGTATGTAATATAATGATAAACATGACTAATTTTGACTGTGCAGTAAGATGACAGTTTTTGTTCCATGTGGAAGACCTAGCTGTGACTTTGAGATGAAACCTTTTATTTTCGTTTTTTATGTACATGTAGTGATTTTGTGTCATTAATTGATAACCATATCCTTTCTTTTCCATTAATTATTGTAATTTGTAGATTACATGTACCTGTTTGTCTTATTGAATAAGGTTGTCATTGTCAATTAGATTTTGAATGATAGTTTTAGAATAACATATTTTATGACAGGACATTGTGTGGTTGATGAAACAGAGAAAGGTTGGTTTGTACAGTATATTGATAGAGATCCAGAGGCAATAAAGAAACAAGAACAGATTAAAGCCAAAGAAAAGATGGAGCTTGATGATGAGGAGAGAGCTGCCAAGTTTATACGTGATCAGATAGAAAGGGCATCAGCACAGGGTCAGGAAGTTAAACAAACAGAATTTACAGACCTGAAGAGGGAGAATGAAGACGAAAAAGGTGACACAATTTTTGTACAGTGAATTAAGTAAAAGAAATAGCAGTGCTATATTATAGTAAAAAAGTTTTGGTCATACATGAACATTCTTAATGGCCTTTTATTTGTCATCAAATTAGTCTATTGTTTAAGTGATCTCCAATTACAGGACACTTAAAATGGGTTTTTTAAAACTTGTCTTGAGCATGAACTCATTTTGATGCACACAACACATAAATTGGGGAAAGATAAAAAGGAAAACCTTTGAACAAATGAAAGAACAAGCATGATTGTTAATGATTATTTTCTTAGGAAAATTGATGAGTGCTTGAAAAATTTTAAATTCAGCTGATGTGAGTGTAATTTTTTATATGACTTAATAATAGAAAATGGTTGATATAGCTAACTCATGTGTTATCTGACCTTTTCTGAACTAATTATCACAGTAAGATTTAGGACATGTACACCATCAAAAAGAACAACAAAGGCAATATGGTGAACTATATGTTTACTGTTTTTGTGTTAGTTTGCTGTCTCATTGATATACAGCTTTATCCCAAGGTGTCGTAAGCACACCATAATCGATTTATTCACCTTTCTTGCTGTGAAGCAATGACATGATAATGCAATAGTGCTGAAAATTGCTGTGATTACAATGATCCTTTTATTCATACAAAATATTACTGCAAATGAATTCAAACTCTTTTATGTCATTTATTTGTACAGTGACCATTAGTCTGGGAGGACTAAGTAAAAAGAAAGAAACAGACACAGTTGCCAGGTAGTCAACAATTTGTTTATGTTTAGTTGATTATTCAGTTTACCTGTTAAAGGTATCATTATATTTTTTGAACAATTATATATCAGCTTTTGCATCCCTGATGGTTTTGGTTCAAAGCTGAATTTATAATGAGATGAAAATATTTATCACTATTTTCTTAAATTTTCCTTTGATCTTTTTGTATTATAATTTTCCACCAACTCGCGCTACTCAAGTGATATGGCAAAGAGTTTTTCTTAGTCATGTGGAAAGATGATATCTGAGGTCATAACTCTATGTCATTGACATTGCCTAGGGAAATAGCGGTAAACTGATTATCAGCTGTCTTTCCAGTATATTTCTTGGCTACATCACATCTCAGAGCTTTCACCCTTTGACGAGATTGTAGCTGGGAAACTCCTCTTATTGGAAGAACAATCAATAAACTATAATTCTGTGATACTATAATACACAATTAAATAATGATTTTGTAAGAATTTTCACCAGTTTATATCTGACTTATTTGTTGAAGATAAATTATGGTTCATCAAAGTAAAGTTTAAAGAAAAAGAGTTGTACAAAATGATTGTTCTTTATGGTAAAGTTGGTGGTCTAGAAAAAATGAAGTTGATGCTATATAAGTGTTTTGTAAGTCACAGAAAAACCTCTGTTTTTATAGTCACATTAATAAGATTGGATTGAACAATGAAAAGATGTAGATTTTTAAGGGAACAATACTCTTTTCAAATCGAACACTTGTCTAATTTTTAGTTCAAGTAAAGACAATCCACTAAAGAAGCCACCAGTTTCCTCAATAGAAAATCCTTTCAAAAAGCCATCTGGTTCTGGAGTAACAAGTAAGAAGACAGAGAAAGCTGGACAGAAAAGAAAATCAGCATTAGATGAAATAATGGAAGTAAGCATTACCCTGAAATTAAACTTTCAGAACATGTGGTCAAAAATCATTAGCTGTCCTTCTGGCATTTAAACACTTCTAATACTGCTGAATCAGACTTTAATAGAATTCTATTTGGATAGAAAATGGACCATCAATATCTGTGATTGATTGAGTTGATTTTTCTATTGGTTGCTGTTGAAAGCACTACACCAGTTTTTTTTTTAAATTGCCATTAAACTAATGTGTGATGCCAACAGTGTTACAACTAATGGTCTTAACCTCTAGCAATAGGCCAGATATTTTCATTTGCAGTGTCAAATTATAATAAGCAGTATCTCAATTGGCTTGTAATTTATATGAGCTGGTAATAATATGTACAATTTGGTTCCTCTGTATTCATTTTCTAATTATATGACATTTAGCTACATTACAATTTCCATGTATACATGTTGTAATTTAGTGACTGTGGTTATTTGAGATAAAACAGACTTGGAATAAGAATAAAGTGTTTATGTAGGGTGACATGTCTTAATGTGGTCAATTACCTTATGAATAAGCACCTTTCAAATCTTGCTCAACCTGTTTGTCTAGTACAAAGCTTGGGTCATATACATGTTCTCATCCTGATATGCATGTAATATTTGCCAATGGACAATTTAGACACCAATCCATCATAATCATCATCATTATAAAACTGTCTTTATAAATTTAAACTGTTACCATATTCTATTTTACATTTGTCAAATGTAAGTTAATATTTAAATGATCAAGTCTCATTGGATGTGACAATGTACCAAAGGAGCAGCATTTTTATCACTGATCTATAGAAACCAATTTAGCAATAGTACAACAATATGTAAATGTTTATGCATATATATTAAAGTTTGAAGAAAAGAAGAAAGAAAAATTAAACAGGAAAGACTACTGGTTACATGAAGGAATAATGGTAAAAATTGTTACTAAAAAACTTGGAGAGAAGTATTACAAGAAGAAAGCTGTAGTCAAGGTAATTGTTTATATTTAGTTGTCTTTTTCATTTTAGGATCACCTTGCAAACATGTCCAGCTTTAGGTTTTAAAATCAATTTATAACTATTTTTACCTTCTACAAAATCCTCTTTGAAACTGCTTTATCAATTTTCTTGTTCTGTCAGCATTGTAAGAAGTAATTTAAGTGGTCATAACATTGAACAGTTCAGAAAGTTTAAAAAATACAAACAAATAGTCCATGTTTCAGAAGTGTTTTATACATTTGACATTTGATTTTTTTGGGGAAATATACAACAAGAGTTTATAAAAAGCATTTTCTAACAATTTTCAGGAAGTAGTTGATTTATATAGAGCAGTTATTAAGTTAATTGACAGTGGAGATAAAATGAAAGTTGACCAATCACATCTAGAGACCGTCATACCTGCGCAAGGTTTGTATTATAGTAAAATATTCATATGTTAGAATAAAAGAAATAATACTGTAAACTTCATTTAAACAGTCACCAAAAAGAATGCAAGTAAACCAAAATAGACTTCATATATATTTTCTCCTTCAAAATAGAGCTGTTAATGTTATCTTAATGTTATGATTTCTCCATCCGAAAATTTTCTTGATGGAGAAATAATTTAGCGTTGATAATCCTGTTCATGTAATTTTTTTTATGCAATATACTGGTTTAATATCGGTAGAGGATAGCAGGGCCTAATCTAGGATTTTGAAGAGGGAGAAGTGACTTCTCCTTCCATGAGAGAGAAGGGAGAAGTGGTCAACTTCTTGGAGAAGTGAGATTCCATTACCGTTTCGGTTGCATCGTGTTTTCAAGCTTATCACTAAGGAAATTGTTTTATATTCAATAAAAGATGTACTTGCAGTTTTTTCATATGGTATTGTACACAATGTTTATATAGAAAGTTCTTAATAAAAAGGTTTAGACAATACATAGTTGTTATTTATTTATTGATACCATAATGTGTTCTAAATAAAATTTGTTGATTGGGACATGAGGGAGTAGCCTAGTAATATTATCAAGATTATGATGCATTGAATTCATGTGCATCTGCCTCAATTTATTTTTAAGCATCTGCCTCAATTTATTTTTAAAACTCCAGAAAAATATGATGAATTTCACATGACTGGGAATTTAATTTATAACACCACTTGTCATTGTTTTGTAAAACATTATTGAATTTCCAGGACATTTATGTTAGTTGTAGTAAATTGAGATTATCGTTAAAGATTGTAAGTCTATAAATGAATATATCTTTCAATCTCAAGTTAATTGTCCGATAAAGAGCTAATTTCTATCATTTTTTAAAAATATCATCCATATCAACGAAGTGGTCATGAGAAAAAATCCACTGCTGATCACAATCTGGTCGAGTGTCGTACGTTTGCAATCACATTATCTATCAGCTGTCTTTCTACCTTTTATATTTCAATTTTTATTCAATGAATATAATAAATCTACCGTTAATTCCCACCCTTTACCTACCGAATAGCAAAATTGATCGACTCGTGTAGGTAATAAAAATAAAACAAATCAGCTGAGTGATTACGCAACATCCTCAGATGAAAATCATCGTAAAAAGATAACTTAAACAGACGGTCAGTTTTCCGTTTCAACAGTTTTGAAAGTTATATCCGAGGATGTTCAAAGTCGCCGTTGTATTTATTTAATTTGATCGTTTACAGTATTAGTCCTGGGTCGTTTCGAAAATCTCGATTTTCCTTGTCAGCCGCCATTTTTTTTAACTGTGAGACTTGTCAATCACAAGTTGTCTCCCTTTTACCGATTTTGATAGCGATTTGACTTCGCTATGAAGTCAGTCGGCCGGCGAGATTTAGCGATTTTCAAAATTCTTTGGCGACTTAAATCGTCATTTCGCCGGCAAGATTATGGCCTGGGATAGCTTGTGAAGTGTCTTGTCTTGACATTTTGCAGATGACTATGACTGACATTTTGCGGATGACTAGAGCATAGATCTAAACGTCACTATAGAATTCAACAGTAGTGTGTTTGCACAAGTAAAATTTGAGCAGATACATGTTTCCAGACTTGAACCCTATAAAATTCCTTCTAATTTAAATGCTATAATAGTGATTGAAAATTTATCAAATATATTGAAACAATCTTTCTGCTGCTACAAAAAAATCTGAAATAAACTGCAGATAGTCTCCCCTAGTATACTTAATAGATAATAATTCACTAATGTCTTTCAGGTAAAAAAGTTCTCATAGTAAATGGAGCATATAGAGGAGAAGGTGCAATTCTTGAAACAATTGATGAGAAGAAATTTTCTTGTTCTGTCAGCATAGCAACAGTAAGTTTTGATTTGAATAACTAAACATTGCAAGGCTATAGTTATGAAAACATCACAATACTACAGTGATTTGGAGTAAACTATATCCAAGATAACAACACACTGCAGTTCACTATGAATTTTTATAGGAGAAAGTGATCTCCTTTGAAGATTTAAAAAGTTAAAACCTGAAAATGTTAGTTGTTGGTGATGTTCATATCCTTTCATTGCTGACTTACTGATTGATGATGCACAACCAAAAAACAGTAGAAGAGATTCTCTGATAAAATTAATATGATAGAAATTGGTTTTAACGTATATGATCAATGTTTTTTGTATTTGTTTTTGATAAATAAAACTTTTGTTAAAGCCATAAGATCGACAAAAAGGTTCTATTTCAAAGGGTTTCAAGTCATACATACCGGTATTCTTATTAATTCTATTCGTGTCAGTATTTGTAAAATAAGAATTTAACCAGAGAAAAATCTGAGCTAGTATGGTTCACATGTTTGTACATTTCAAATAGCTTTTCAAATGTCATTCATATTGGTAAGGCATTTGTATTGTATTTTAATGGTCGTTCTACAATAGTCTAAAAGAGAGGTGACCAGTGGTGAAAGATACCAAAAGGACATTCAAACTTATAAGTCGAATATAAACTGACAACGTCATGGCAATAAAAGAAAAAGACTAAAAGACAAACAACAGTATACAAAACACAACATAGAAAACTAAAGACTGAGCAACACAAACCCCACATAAGTATGACATATATGACTAAATGCTCTCTTCATATAGTTGGATTTACAATTTGAATACTGCTGGTGCCTTATGTGTCTTTTGATTATGTTTGCTGTGCAGAATATTTTGATTTCAAATTCATATTGAAGATATAGAAGAAGAAAAGGGGAACCACTGACCATATTATATAAAATCAGAATACAATGTAAGGGAAGCATATCAGTTCAACCTTAAATATAAGCTATATTAATTGACACCAAAGTTTGTAAATTCCCACAATGGAACAAATTATATTTCTTGTGATTGATTGATAAGTATTCAACGGAATTTGTTATTTAAATTTAAAAAAAATTCAATTAACCATGTGATGGAAAGGTAAACATTATTATTACAATGCTTCTTAAAAATAACAATTGATGTAGATATTAATTTCGGGGTTAGGAAAAAAAGCTCATTTTATATTTCAAAATACTCAAAGAAATTACTCTGGGACAGAAATTGTATTTTATTTTGCTTCCTATAAACTTCTAGGAATATCATTGGTTAAAACGAACATTGTTGAATCAGTGTATATTTAATACACAGTTAGTGCGCATGTACTATTTTAAATACACGGTTAGTAGGAGTTAGAAGTAGAGTTACATTCCTTTAAAAGAAAAACCTGTGTTGTTCTCAAATAAACATACATAATTATGAATTTTTAAGTTTTTAGACAAAAATTTTGTTAGAGACCCTGAATAATTGAAAGTTTTGTTTAACGTTTAGTTAAAATTGTGATATCAATATAAAAATAAGGAGATGTGGTATGATTACCAATGACACGACTATCCACCAAAGTTCAAATGAATTGGATGTAAGCAATTATAGGCAGCTGCACGGCTTTTAACAATGAGAAAAACCCATACTGTATAGTCGGCTATAAAAGGCCCAGACATGAAAATTATGAAAAATTCAACTGAGAAAATTAGAGGCCTAATTTATAACAAAACAATTTACGAAAAACATATATGACAGACATGAACAAACTACAACCACTGAACTACAGGCTCCTGACTTGGGACAGGCACATTAGAATGTGGCAGAGTTAAACATGTTTGAAGGTGCCAATCCTCCTCCTAACCTGGGACAGTGTAACAGTGCAACAAAAGAACAAACTACAAAAATCAGGTGAAAAGGGCTTAATTCATCAGATTGATACAAAGCAGAAAAATATCTTCTGTAAAAGTACTTTTATTTGTGGCCCACGAATAAAAATACTTTCACAGTAGATTCATTGATAGGCTTTGTCCACTAATTAAAGTGTCCAACGAAATATAACAGCTGTTGTCAAAATCAAGACATGGAAAGATCCCCATGTAGGTTTGACTTCATGGATATATATATATATATTAGGGATGTCAACTCGGTGAAGATAAACTAATTGAGTACTCGTAGGATTTACCGAGCAATACTCGAGTACTCGCTCGGTCAAGCATTTTATATCTACAAAATGGAAACACAAAATTATATCCATTTTATGTATTGTGGGTCGTTGCATTATAAACGTTAAACCCTCAACATTATTACTTAGGACTAAATAATAGTCCAAGGAGTTTTATATCATAATTAATAGTTCATTTACTACATGAACTGATTATGTAAGCTGACAATAGTCTAATCAAGTAATTAATTAATATCTATAGAAAAATGATTACTCAAACAACAGTAACCGTAAAAAACATATTTAATGATCACCAAAGGGGTGATGATTAGAACTTAATCCTTTTCTGAGGGTCAACACAGAGTGCAACGAATTTGTTCTTATTGAAAAATATCATCTTGTATACTTTTTCTGGGACAAGGCTATTTCTCATCTTTGTTAGGTAACTAACAGTCCTGCTGAAGAAAATATATACTCTTACGGTAGAGAAGTGGAGGAATAATTAAGATCAGCCAAAGGTGTAAGCCTTGGAAACATGCTCTTGTTCATATATCTTACCTCTGTGTGGAGGAATTTTAAATGACATTTAAACACAAACATTCGAATCGAATTTTAAGTTTAATTAATTTTGATTAATATTTAATTTCCCGGGAGTTGCTCTCAAAAAAATTTGTTGTTGTTGTTTTAGCTTAAGAAAGCAAGAAAGCAACAACATTCTTACAGGAAACCGATTAGTCGAGTATCATTTTAGTAATCGATACTCGGTACTACTGAGCGATACTCCAGTACTTTAGTACTCGTTGACATCCCTAATATATATATATATATTAGGGATTTCAACTCGATGAACAAATACTAATCGAGTATTCGTTGGTAGTATCTAGCGATACTCAAGTACTCGCTCGGGAATATATATTCAACAAGGAAACACAAAAATACGTACTTTATATTCTATGGTTTGTCGTTCAACGGACGAAAAACCATCTACACAAGTATCTGGGACAAGGAATTACACACCATAATTAATAGCTCATTACCTACAAGTACTAATTAAGTAAAAGCAATGATCTAATCAACATAATTTAATGAACACCTATTTAAAAATTATAACAAGGAAAAACCATATCAAACAATAGTATTTGGTAATCGTTAAGAAAACACATTTAATGTTTACAAAGGCGTAATGATTAACTATTCACTGAGGGTCATCAGAGGATGCATTGAATTTATTTTATTTGGAAACACGTTCTTGTCAACAATTATTGGGGACAGTCGGTTTTGCAACTTTGTAAATTACAGTCTTGCAGACGAAAATATTTGCTCTGACGGTACTGATGTGACGGAATGGCTAAGACATGTTTAGTTTAGAGTGTTAGCCTAGGTTTAGCCCACATATTTTCAGAGGCATTTTAAATGACAATTTAGCACAAGCATTCGAAACTAAATGTATTTAATTTACTAGTATGATTAATCAGTGATGCCTATTTAATTTTCCGTAAGAGGATCTCAAGAAGATCAATTTTATATAAAGAAAACAGCAATATTCTAACAGGAAACCAATTATCTACTGAGCAATACTCGAATACTGGAGTACTCGTTGACATCCCTAATATATATGCATATAATCTAGAGAATACATGTATATCGAATATCAGCAATCGCACTATAAACTATATATACAAGTTCAGACAGGATTTTACCCATTAAATCTTTAAAAATCCTAAACTGTACGACTTTTAACCTTTTAATTCTCATGAAAAATTGTTATATCAATGAAAGTCAGACTTCCCGTGATGATATGCGATGATGAAGTGTTCATTTTATCTCCTCATAATTCTCAGTTGAAAAAAAAAAAATCATTTTTGGCTTACTTTTTTATTTCTTAAGAATTGATTCTGCAATTCAAAGTACATTTGTAGCATTTTTTGTGTAACCATTTTCTTTAAGTGACATGTTTCTGGCCCAATTAACACCTTTAATGATCATTAATCTTTTGATCATTCGAACTCTGGTTAATTAGTGTCATCACTTCTGATGTCATACATGTATGCAACAATTAAAATGCTTACATTGCAATTTCCTTTAATTGAGACAAACAAGGAATATGGGTTATCCTTTCATGATACAAAGTCAGTACATGCACAGTAAAAACACACAAAAAGCAAAGGAACAGTGCTTTTATTGCTGTTCTTCATCTCAAAGTCACAGTGAGGCCTTCCACAAGAAGCAAAAAAAAAAATCTCACCTCACTGCAAGTTAAAGACGGCCCCTAGCACCGGTTTGAGTGGAATTCTTTTCAAAATGATATGGATAGACTTTGTAAGATGTATCACCACCAAATCCCGTCTGGTCAAAAAAGAACATACTGGAAAGTAGTACATATTTAAAACAAAAAAGTTCCTACGCATAGGTGTAAATATAAAACTTTGTAGAATATATTTAAGTTATTAAGGTATCAAATAAAAGGTGAAGGACTGGTGATCCTAGTAGAACTCATATTGACTGATAATTTTTAATAATACAAAAAGGTATGACTGAATTCTAAAATTGAGGGCATATATTGCCTGTTTCTCAGATATGAAGTACCTGATTTTTTTGTATCTATAGTTGGGGTAACCAGTATGGTCTGATGTATGAAAACGGTATACTGATCCTGCCCCCATAAAATGTTTGCAAGTAAAAACATGGATAATAATGAGGGAAGGAGGTTGTGTGCATTTTGTTAAAATTTTAGTACACAAACTGGCCTAAAATTGAGAGAATGATGTGACACACATAAGAGAAGTCATCTCAAGAATAAATACACCATAACTTTAAAAATACAGAAGAGCATACATATATGTAAGCATAGATGAATCAGCTTATTTCTGAAAGCAATTATTTTATTAAACATTTGATGAATTTTGTCAATAAAGAAAGACGAACAAGTAATTGAAACTTAACACCTTACTTTGCAATGTCCAACAAATCATTATAAAACAATATATGATTATTTTCGAGAATCTTCGTTTCTGATGGCTTCAAATTCACAACTCCTTTTTTTTTAGAAAACAAAATGCCACAAATTTAAGAACTCATAATCTATTGTTCAAACCACAGAAATTGATACCTATGAATAAAAGTACTTTCACAGTAACAGAAACATAGACCAGACGTGGCAGACGTATCCTTAAAAACTAAACAGACACAAAGTACAGATATGAGAGTACTCGCAGTTACTGACAGTTAGTTCAAAGTCAATAATAACAACTAATAAAAAAATCATGTATCTTAGACTAAAATATCAATCAGTACACATCCAACATCCAATGGATTTAGTGAAAGATGTCATTTACAGTCAGAGAAAAACATGGTTTATTACATGTTCAAAAACCAATATCAAATAACCTTTACATGTAGTGAACCATGTTTTTGATTTAGTGTAAAGAAGTCATTAACAGTCAGAAAAACATAGTTCATTACATGTCCTGTTGGTTAAAATTTCTTTCTAGTTTAACAGTTTGATTTGATAAGACAAATTGCAGAACAGTGGCCTCAGTGTGTTCATTGCAATTTTGAATATATATTTCTTTTAACTGAGTATATTCCAAATGACCATGGCACTACATTGCAATTTCTGTATTTTTGATTTAGGACATGTAATGAACCATGGTTTATTTGATATTTAATTGTTCTTGTTGCATTTGTTTTTGTATAAATCTGTGCAACATAAAAATAAGGATATATGGTTTGATTGCCAATGAGACCCACTATCCACCAAAGTTCAAATTAAGTGGATGTAAGCAATTATAGGCAACCATATGGCCTTCAACAATGAGAAAAAGTATGTTCTTAATATTGAGACTTGATCACTGTGACATGTGTATATGTAAGCATAGATGAAGCAGCTTATTTCTGAAAGCAATTATTTTATTCAAAATTTTATGTAATAGTCCACCAGGCACCAAATATTGCTCTAACAACAACTGAAAATAATAATAATTTTTTAAAACTACATCTTAATTCCCTATATTGAGATAGTCAGTAAGAAAAATTTGTTTCACAGTGTTTTTATCTTTGTTAAACCTAATCAATCATAGTTTTTGCAAAAATAAAAACATTGCCATAATTCTGAATTTACAATACATCCACAGTGTATCCCGTCTATTACAATTTTAAGTTAAACTGAAATGCTTATTCCTATATTTCAGGGTCCATTAAAAGGCAGATTAATAGAAGGTATAGAATATGAAGATTTAAGTAAAATATATCAGCCATGACAGGATTACACCTAATTCAAACCAATTAAGATATCTGTGATAACAAAAACTCATTAGCATATGAGTAAATGGATCTTTATCCCTGTAATAAATATTGATCTATAATTAAGCTGTGTAGACAGAAATGTGAGTGTAAAAGAGAAAGTTTCCTTGAAACAACAGATGGTACAGAGATTAAATCCTTGTAGCAATAAACAAGAGATTTTCTTATACTTTCATCATTTATTGAGAACAGTGAACTCAGGTTGTTGATTGCATTTTTGAATATATTTCTTTTAACAGAATATTTTCCAAATGAGCATGGCACTACATGACAATTTTTGTTTTTGTATAAGAAATTTTTGGAAGAAAACTCAGCATTGTAAATATTGATTTTTTAAGTGTGATATATGATAATTAGTAAAATACTGTATATTGATTATGAAATGTTATTATTTATTATGTCAATTCTTACCAACAAGAACTCATACCTAAAAGGGAAGTATTTAGTTCAGAATTGAGTTCCTGTAAGAATAGCAGTGAGTTGTGACACAGTACATGAACACAATGCTTGTTATTTTTATCAGGATAAGAGTGAATCTTTTATGCCTGAAATCACAATTAATGTCTTGTCACATTTTTTTTAAAAAAGGTTTACCTGTATTATAGGGAAGTATGATATATCCAGGATACTTTATGTTAGGAAATATGGAATTTAGTTTTAAGATTAACATAATATTATTTAAACATTATCAGTAATTCATGATAATCAGGTAGTTTTTATAAAAATAACTAATTTTGTTTTTAATTTATTAGTTTGGTTTGTATGCGGCTTACAAGTAAGATACACTAATCTGTATAAAAAGAGTCACATATGTATTTTTATTGATATTTGTAAATGAACATCATGATATCATTAAATAAATCCGAAATAAATTTGATGAAATTTTAAAGGCATGGATGTATAGTGTTTGAATACATGAAGAGCTATATGACAGAAAGGAACTTAAATATTTTAATCTATTGAAAGTTAACTTTGTCAGATGGAGTTGGAACTTAGTTTCTTAATAATTTCTAAATTTACCAAAAGAGAATTTAAGAAAAAAACTTATCAAAGATATCATGGATATCAGACTTAAGAACGTATGTTATTAATTATATCAGTAGTGTAGAGATACACTCAGGGACTAGCAGTCCACTAGGAGATGTATCGACCGAGTGCTAGAAAATCAAAATAACATTTGATAAACGTTGGTGCTTCAGAAGCACTTTTCTGGATTTACCTTAATCAGGATGTACAAACCCCAAAAATTGAAAGCCAAGGAGGTATATGCACTTGAAGGATGAGTCCTGCAGTTTACTTTTCTATGAATGCTGTTGGTGTAATTCAGATCCAAAATATTTTGTTATGTCCCCACCCCTGGGCAAAGGGGGCATTAAGGTTTACCCTTGTCAGTCTGTATGTCCATCTTTATGTACATCTCTACATTGGTTTCCTTTCTCTAACTTTAGTGTCGCCTCAACAAAATGTTATAATACTTATACACAATGCTTATTTTCACCAAACACAGATCAAGTTCGAATTTAGGTGTCTTCATTGTCATATTTCTCGAGATTTGTCCCTACATAAATGGAAAAATTGCTGAATTTGCCGTTTTTCGAAATCTTACTCTACTTTGCCACAACAAATGTTCTGAAACATAATGCTTATTACAAACAAACACCGATCAAGTTCAAAATTGGGTGGCATCACTTTCACTGTTTTTGTAAATGGAAAATTGCCAAATTTGCTGTTCAGGCACTCAACATACAGAAACAAATGTCATTTAGTTTCAAAGAAAACAAAACGTCTTAATAGAACTTGCAGGTACTTGAAGCTAGTTCAAAACAAATTGCAACTAATATAAATCATGGGCTCCCAGACTAAAGAAACAATTAGTTCACATCCAACGGATTTAGTGTAAAGATTTTACAAACAGTCTGAGAAGTGCATGAACTTGTGCAATGCCAAGATATAAGTAAATAGTATCGACAGGATGTAGGATCTTGAGTTATCATAACTGTACACACATAGCAATATATATATTTAGTTACCAAATCAATGTTAGTACAGACAAAACAATCTTTAAAGATATTACTACTGTGTTAAATTGCCGACCTTTAACAATAAGTTTATTCAAAGGATCAATGAATTTACATGGATCGTATTTTAATTCACGGCTCCATAGACAACATCGCCGTGAAAATAAGGATGCGAATAATAAGATTCATCAAACTTCGTAAATTAATGTTTGTTTCTATATTACTCTGAATATCGAATTTAGGGGGCCCAAAAAGTGCCCTTATCAAAGCTCTTTTTATGATATCATTGCAAAAAGTAAGGCTGCTTAAGAAAACTGGAAAGGCAAAATCATGTTATCAAATATTCTATGCAATATTTGTAAACTGGGATAGAGTTGGTGCATTGTAACACCTTTCTTAAACTTTATTTTAATCCTTAATTGTTTTGAAAAAAAATCTGTAATTGAACGTATAAACCAACATTAGCCGTAATTGATCGTAATTTGGAGATATTGACAATACGAATCCATTAACGGAGGCTATCCTGGAGTAAGTCTAAATATCGTGAGTAAAGGATTAAAACAACAATAGAAAGGCATTAAATTCAAACCTCGCGAGACTAGACTCGGCTGCAAGGAAAAATCGACTGGTAACCATTTTCATCATGTAGACGGTTCCAAATTTATACTCTCATATCCGATAACAACTGTCACTGACTAAAACACGACAATAAAGATTTTAAATTCAGTTGGTTGATATTTGTAAATGGGAATTATGAACATGACCATGTCTCTAGTGTTCGAGACAATGGCACAATATTACGAACGATCGAAATGCAGCCGAAAATCTTTCATGAAAGGACTTCACAAATAATACCGGAGCTTTAAATCGAAAAAGAATTTGTCAATAGACATCAACAATAAAGGCGAAGTTTTTATTGAATAACATTTTGTTTTAAATGGATTGACAGATTTTCCAACTGTCCATTGAATGAAAATGTTCACTTTTATTTTTGCACTATTACGCAGCAGAATTTATCCAAATTGTGTGGTTATAGCAAAAAAAAAAAAAAATGTAGAAAATGTGGAAGCCCAGGCCATAAATAGTATCTCCCCCTATACACACGTTATCATTTTGTTCAAGACATAGTAATGTTTAGGGAAACCAATGATCACTTCCATATACACTGCACTCTCTATGTAATAATCATCACAATCTAATATCAACAGTTTTATGGGCGCTATCCGATTCATTCGATTGTTGTCAGATGTGTGTGCCACGATTGCAGATCTGTTTTGATCCCCAATAAAACCAAATTTGTCTTATTACCCGCTTTGACAATTGAACCTGAGACCTGATCTTACTCCCAGACTTGATGTGAGTTCTAATGGGCCAACACTCTAGATTTTTCGGTGTTCGTTGTTTCTATACAGACTATTTAAGGACCCGGACTTCATCCTTTTTTATGACACGAACTAGAGACACTTCGATACATTTTGCCATGGCAAAAACTGGGAGCGATCTCAGGTGCTACGGAAGGGCAGCGATAAGTAGTCTTTTATGTTTTGTGCTTTATACTGCCAAATTTTTTAATCATATTGTTAATAATCCGTCTGTGTTTTTGTAAAATTAAGTATAAATCAGACCAGACTGGGAACCATGCAAATATCATCTCTCGAACCCCCCCCCCCCCCCCCCAAAAAAAAACAACCATAAAACAAACAAAAACAAAACAAAACATATCACATACAGTAGATAACAAAACCATTATAAAGGAGACGTTTAGATAGATTTTACACGTTGTATTAAAAAAAACTTTTGATATCCTATCAGTTTCAATGAACCAATTCGTCAAAAGTACTGTCAAACTGTCAAGATATGAGGGGGTGTAGGAGGGGTCCTGATCCCGAAATCCCGGGCTTAAAAACATGGAATCCCGAGGTCCCGAATTTAAAAAAAATTAAATCCCGACATGCCGAAATTCGAAAAAAGAATTCCCGGATCCCGAAAGGATCAATCCCGAAATCCCGAGCTTAAAAACACCCGATTCCGTAGTCCCGATAAAGGTCCTACCCCCCAGATATTGAATTAAAAAAAAAACTACTAAATTGTCCTAGTACCGAACTTTTGTTTAAAACAATAACAACCTCCAAATTCAATAAATATACGATTAAAACAATATCAGCCTCCAAATTCAATAAATATACGATTGACCTTAGGTGATGATATATACTTTTTGTAAACTTTTTTTTCTAAACTGTGTTGTTCTTGAAAAAAGACAATGCTATGAGTTTCGTTCATTTGTTTTTACCTCCAATCCTCACACATTTCAAATGTTTCATGGAAATCTAATCAATACACTTCAGCTTTTTAAGGATAAATACGTGCAGTTATGGTGCAAACCTATGTAAAAAGCTTATTATTGTAGTTCAATTGATTTTTGACTTTGCGTACCGCATAGTTCATAGTGATATCAATTGTTCTTGGAATTTACATAACAAATTGTAATTAGGGTTAAAGGTATCTCTTTATATTAACGTTTTACTTAATGTTATGAATAAATGTTGTTTTTATTTTTTATTGAAAGGATAGAAAACAGAAGACATGATTAAGTACATTATAATTAAACTAGGGTTTATAACACAGCTGTTCAATTATATGAAACGGCGTCAATGTCCAACAAAACAAGGAAATCAATCTGTTTTGAAATACAGATAATAACCACGATCCGCCCTTGTATACGAAACGTGGAACACAATCTACCAAACTGGGTCCTCCCTAGGCCATTAGTTTGCTATTGTATGTATTTATGAATCTCAAATGATTATGTAAAATGGTGAATTTTGAAAGTAACTAAAATGAAAGGGTTATGACATGCAGGATGAAAAAGGGAAAATTTTCATTCCAAGATAATACGTGGTCATGCTTTAGAATTCAAGAATGCATAATATATTGATAGATAGTATTGTTCATTTTTTTTTTGCAATATCAGTTTTACCGGACTTTTTTTGTTCATAATTACACCTTATATAAGTATCCTGGAATTTCATTGGTTAATAGCTGGTGTATTTTTCATGTATTTTCTATAAAAGATGCGTTTTGTTCATATTTCATTATTGCCGGGATATATACACAATGATCTACCCTTTTACATCCTCTGTCAAACTTAGACATCTCTATTGTCAAGTGAGAGGTTAAGGTATCTATGAACCAGGTTTAATCCACCATTTTTTACATAAGGAAATACCTGTATCAAGTCAGGAATATGACAGATGTTTTCCATTCGTTTGATGTGTTTGAGCTTTTGATTTTGCCATTTGACTTCCCGTTTTGAATTTTCCTTGGAGTTCGGTATTTTTGTTATTTAACTTATTTCTTCAAACTCATTAGTCGAAAATAAACTGATAACGCTATGGCAATAACAGATATTACATGATCAGGAGGGATACTTGCGTAAATACTAGTCATACGAGGGGATTTCCTTGGTCTAGCGGCTCAGAAAGTTTTACGCTCTCTCGATTAGTATTTTTTGCAAATACCCCTCCGGAACATGACATATCTGTTCGATACTGTTGCTAGGAAAACTTGCATTGGCTTCTTTTTCCTATAAATATTTCCTTTTCCTAGGCATACTGCTACTCATTTCATTTGAGTTTTTTCAATATTTTTAATTGAAAATAATACTTATATATTCATGAAAATGATTATACTATAAGAAAATCAACCCCATGCATATTTTGAGTGGTC